AGGGTTTAGGGTCTAGGGTTTAGGGTTTGGGGTTTAGGGTTTTAGGGTTTAGGGTTTAGGGTGCAGAGGAGCCGGAAGAACATTTTCACCTAGAGAGACTATAGTGTTTCATCGACTCTGGAAAGATCAGAGCTTCCTTCATGAGTGTTTGTCCATAGACCTAAGCCCTAAACCTTAAATCGTAGTTTCCATTTTCTTTTCCATTATCCTTTTATTAGCCCTATACTATCCTAAGATTAACTACCCTGCCCCAATCTAAAATACTCCCCCCTCACAATTTTGTGAAAACCGCATAAGGTGGACAGGCTTGATGTAATCCCAGACACACCTCTATGAATCTTTCTTAGGCCCAAAGACGGTTTAGGGTTTTAGGGTCTGCTGAGCTATGAAAAGCAACCTCCTGCCCAAGCTCACAGATTCCCCACTGATCCCAGGACTCTAGAGCATATGTCCGCGTCTTCAATGAGTGGTACCCGGAATCGAGGTGCTCCTCACTTGGAGTTATGTACGGGACCATGCGAGCTATAGTCTAAACTCCTTAAAGGGGGTTATATAGGGGACTACTATAGGGGTTATTAAGGGGGATACTAGGAGTTTAGACTATGGCTCATATGTATATATATACGAAGAAAACCATGGGCTTCCAGCCCTTCGCTTCCTGATGCCAGAACCTTCTGGAACCCTAAACCCCAAGCATAAAAGCCTCGGCCAGTGTGCAGTGGTGAGAGCACAGGTCAGCATATTTTGGTAAACCCAACCCTCAAAATCAGGTACTCGCAGCCGGCACCCTATAGCTACCGGATCCTGATTTTGAGCGGTTGAGCTGTCCAAACTATGCTTGTTAAGAGGCCCCTGCTGCAACGGGCCGCAGCACGGAAGCTTGTCTCAGCTGCGCGACGCAGACCGGCCCGTCACAAAGGGCTAGGGCCCGCACAATGAGATGGTTTAGGGTTTAGGCCCACTCCCCCTATTAGTACTGGATAGGAAAACGCAAATCTTATTAGGAGGCGGCTTACCATGAGTGGGGGGTCGCTACAAGTGCCGTGTGCACGAACCCTACGTATACCTGCCCAAGTTACCCGCTGCCTTACGGGTCATACCCGCTACTTGCTGGGTCATGGCCATCAGCATAGGTAACTAATTACGGGTACGACCCAAACCCTGACCAAGCCGTAAGTTCAAGGTTTCGGAGTTTAGGGTTTAGGGTTTAGGGTTTAGGGCCTATGTAACCCCATTATAGTAGTTTCCATTTCTCCATTCTCCCAATATAGCCCTAATGTGGTTTGAGGGCTCAGTCGATTACACTTTCCCCTCACGGGGAGCTTCTTAAGGTAGTCGCCCCTCTCAGAGCTTCCTAGTATGAGACGGGCCCTGATGAAACGGTCAGGTATCAAAATTGAGGGTTTTTTGGGCCAGCCGTATCATACATCCATCGTATATAGGCTACCCAAAAAGGACCAGAGTCTTGATTTCCAAATTTGATCAAAGTCTTGGTTTTCAAATTTGAGGAGCACTACATCTCATGTATCGAGCTTGAGGGCTCAGAGTATGATCAAGAAAGGTCCCTGCTGGAGTCTCCTTTTAAAATCTTAAGTAAGTATGAGAGTCAAGTCCACATAGCTACAAGGTTCCTGAAAATAATTATTGATTTCTGTTACCAACAATCCTAATATTTAGCTGAAAGTGTAATTTCTACTGGGGTTCCAAATCCCTTAGAGATAGGTCATCTGCATTTTTCCCGCGTGCCCATGAGGTGTCATGCATCTGCTAGCCCTGCTTGAAGTATCCTCCCAACAAGCACACGCAAATAGGGTTCCCTTTTAAAGGGGATATTTAGGTTTAGGGTTTAGGGTCCAAGGACCCAAATAATAGGGTTTTAGGGCCCAAATACTATAATATCTATAAGCCCAGAAGGTTGCTCCCCTGCTAGCTTAGGCAGGTGCGGGTAAAGGCCTCTGAGCCGCGAATTTATTGAGGCCCAGACTTCCATATGACCAGCGGAAAGGACCAGTTAGCCAACATTCAAGCTAACATGGAAATCAAGACGGCCCTGTTCTCAAATCACCGTCTAGCCCTTGTAGCACCCATCTTCACATCTCCACGTTTGTTTGTTTTAGTAATATCTTTGTCTGGCCTCCTGCCGCATATTTACCCCCACTGCGAGAAGTGTTTCCCGGATGTTGCAGGTCGATAGTGTCTGACATTTATCCAGAATTATACGTCCATGAGGCCAAGGGCCTGGGTGGGATCCCTCGATTGCGATGATGACGCAAAGTAATCCCCACGGTGGAGATTCGTCGTGAGGAAGTCTGAAGTGCGTTGGCCGCGGTTCAAGCCTCTTCTCTTGTCTCATGTTGCTTGGAGGGAGATGTGTGTCAAGGTTACAGGGTTTGTAGCTTGGCAATCAACATCCAATGTTATGTCAGCGTTGCCTATGAGGAAGCTCCAGGTTTCCTATGTGAACGCTTTAGACTAGACCCCAAAGTTTTCGAGCCTCTAGACACCCTCTGTTCACCTGGCGTGACGCAACTTTCCCTCAGCTCTTCCAACCTTGACCTTACTCTGCCTTAGCCCCGAGCCCTCATTACCGCTTAGATCCTCCTTGGCCGCAGCTGCTTCTCATGGGTACATCGTCCGGATGCATCAGCGAGTGCGCAGGCAACTCTCGATAGGTTGTAGAAGATTGCCTGGGGCTGTTTCGTTCCTGTGCGGAGCTTTACATAGTAGGGTGCTTTGCAAAGTGTGGTATCCTAGTTCCACACCCATGCCACATGTTCCTGTTGCAGAGATAGTTGCCCGAACGCTGAGATGTGGCTACATCTGGGGTTGAATGTGGGAAGGGATGCTGCCAGCCAAACCCCAGAGCTGAAAAACCCGATTCTTGGCAAACATCAGCACTCGCTTCTGCTTGTGGCTAGGATTTCCCATGCATCAAAATTTAGATTCAGAAAAAGAACGATGTTGAGGACGCCAATTGTTGGGAGTTCTTGAAACTTTCTTGGGCATCTTCATGTCAGCACAAGGACCTTCATACCTGATCCCGCTCGCCTTTTGTTGTCGCCTTAGTGCCTCCTGCTGACAAGGGAGCCTTCCCCCAGGCAAGAACAAGATACCTGCAGGCTTTGAGCGAAGCTGCAAGCCTTGCATTGTAGCACTGGGTTTAGGGTTTAGGGGTTTAGGGCCAAGAACATCGACTCCAGCAGTTGGTGTGGCCGGGTATACTCAGAATATCTCTTCCAAGCCCTGAGACCTCAACACAAGGCCAAGTCCCCAAGCCCCATATGCACCCATGGCCCTAAATTAAGCCATAACCCGCCACAGCCCCTCTTCCCGAGATGCAGCCCCAAACCTTACATCGTCGCTAGAACGTGAGCCCTAACCCTCGAAAGCCCTTCTTCATGTGACTGAATTTCTCACCCACCCAACCTCTCGGGGACACCCTACCCCATCACTATCAGAAACTCTTAGCCTTCATTACCCAGGGTCGGCGTTTTTTCAAGGATGTATGGGCCCAGGAACCCATGCAAATATATCAAGTACATCAGATTTTGAGTAAGTCCGGAACAAATAGAACGCTTATTTGTGTACCTGCACCCTTTACAAACGATTCCCATGTTGCTAAACCCTGAACTGAATCAGAAACCTTACACCCTCTATCAATTGTTCCCATGGCTCTGCGGTTGTCAGGCTCGGACTGCCGTCCAACGGTACAGAAGTCGGGGCCACGGTTACCGTGTGGGCAACCCTCCTTGCTGGTGGTCAGTAAGGTTATCTTAGTAGGCAATAGGGGCATAAAATCCCTATATAAGCCCTTGTGATATATTCCCTTTTCCCTACTTACCTTAAACCCTAAATAAGTGGTTATTACCACTCATTGCAAAGAGGATGGACCGTGCTGCACGTAGAATACCGGCCGAAGATCGGAATGCTGATTGGGTAGGCCCCTAGGATGTTCAATATTTCCCCTGATGGCTCTTAGTAGGAAACCCTTTATGAACATTGTTTGAAGGTTTCAGGGGCCAACCCAGCTAATCATGTTTTGGTCGTCCTCGTAACGCTTGAATATGGATTTCCCAGCGTCTTGGGGGTTGCACATGCGGCTAGAGGACTGCTCTTAAGAATTGTCTTGGATCAGGACTGGAGTCGGACTAGGAATGAAATTATACTTGGACCCTTGCCTGTTTATGAATTCTTTTCTCCAAGCTGAAGACTCCGGTGTATATGTCCCCAAACCTGCTTCTATGTTGGGATTCCACAGCGTAGTTCTGAGCAGCCTAAACCCTAAACCCTTGGAGGAGCCTAGGCATCAGAGTTCTTGGAGGTGCAAGTATCCACACTTCGGGCATTCGTTGCGCAAGTATCTTCTTGGGCGGTCTTTTCCCACATCTCGGGCCGCCCTCAGACCTCACTAAGCCCTCCTTTAAGCGGGTTCCAAGGACCCCGGTATTTAGGGGTTGAGGAACCAAAAAACAATTTTGAGCGTAGGGTCTTGGACCTAAAGCCCCCAGCATATGGTTCTTTGGTCTCTCAGGGCTCTATGCAAACTGCCGCTCCTCACAACAAAAAAGCTGAAGTTCCTGAGGAAAGCGCCATTTGTTGGGGCTGTGTATAGAATTATCTTGGATTGGAGAAACACCTTAGAATCCTTTCGAAGGTCTCCCATGCCTGCATTTTGCCTTTCTTGGTGACATGGATCCCCCCTTGTTCAGGGGTCTAGAATCTAGAATGGGGCCCTCATTGAAAGAAACAGCGAAAGTAAAAGAAAAAGGCACGACGGCAGCTGCATCCTATCCCCTGAGCCCTTCAAAGTCCAGAAGCAGTAAAGAATAAACTCATGGCCTTTGAAAATACAAACCTCTACGTAATGTAGAGTCCTCTTTAACCAGACCAGGGCTTCGGAGAAGATTATACTTCATCAGTCATACAAGGGTTATAAGGGGATGACATGTTGCAAAAAATCAGCGCCTCCATAAAATCCATCCATCAGAGCCACTTGCAAGGCTGTGTCGTGGGGCCTTTCTGGAACCCGAGAAGGACCATCCTGCTCCATATCCTGAATGGGGATTTAGGGTACTTCCCCTTGGTAGCCCAGGGTCGTGCAACTTATTCCTGTTTGGTGTCCAGTTGAGGGGACCACGGATTAAGGCGACCTACCATGCTTAAGGTTCATGTTTCTAGCTTCGAGCTTTTGGGTAGACGCACTCGGTTTAGGCTTAGGGTTTTGTGTTTGGGGACCTCTCATGTAAGCAAGACCACCTATTCCAATGGTTGGGTCACTTGCATCTCTGGCAGAACCTCCTTCAAGCGCATTTTGCTGTCGTCGTATTGCTGCAGCCGATACCAAAAGCACTGCATGGCAGACTCCTGCAAAACCTCGTGTAACCCTTAGAAGGACCCCCCACCCTGTAATAGTGACTCTAAGGGATAATAAGGACTATATCAGAGTCCTAGTATATTCCTACTATACCACTATTACGGGGCGGGGGGTCCTCCGAATGTAACCCTAAATAACCATCACATCCACAAAATGCATCTTATATCCCTAAACCCCAAACTTTGAACCCTAAATCCTTGTCATGCATTTCTTCTTGCAGGCCCCTACAAAGTACCCCAACAAGGAGATCAACATTTTAGCTAGACAATCCCCAACTCCTACATGTAATCCAAACCGTGACATACTGCCACGCGGTTTAGGTTTCAGGGTTTAGTGGGTTTAGGGTGGTACCGCTTTTGCCATTTGATTTTCCAGTATCCTAGTCGCCCTCAAGCCCCAAACCCTCAACGCTATCAAACCCTCACCCCCAAATTTCTATACCCATTTGATAGTTTCCGTAAATAAGGGTACCCCAATCTAAGCCCCGAACTATTACCATCCTTTTTATTGGGATCCCCAAAATGGTGCCCCTAATTTTCAGTAAGCCCGCACCCTAATTCCCAAACCTACTGATATTCCCCTTTTGACTGACCTAAACCCTAAACCCCAAACCCCTAAACCCTAAACCTTTGGGAAATTCTCCATTTCTGGAAGGAGGCGAGCCTGGCCAGCCTTTCGAAGCAGAGGTATGAGCATGCGGAGGCCATTGGATCATGAAACCCGTAAGAGCCTGAGGGATATTTCACGGAATTCGGGTTTAGGGTTTCGGGTTAAGTTTAGGCTTGAAAGCCTTGGAGCTTCAGTCATAACATACAGAATTAGGGTTTAGGGTCTAGGGTTTGTGGTTTAGGGTCAAGTTTAGGCTTGATACCCTGGGAGCTTCAGGGATAATATACAGAATGGGGGATTGTCAAAGCAGCTTAGAGTTAAGGGCTGAGGTTTCAGAGTGAAGTTTCGGGGCGTAACAAATAAAAGATGTGATAGCAGAGAATCACTTAGCAAAGAACATGGAGCGGTCATGGAATTCAAGACAGTATAGGGGTCATATAGGATTGTGGCATGGAAGCCTGGATAACGATATATCAATATTATGGTCTCTGATTGCTTGTATCATGGTCGCACAGAATACATCTCATGTGCCTGACATGATATTGGTAATTTCTCAGGCTTCCACGGTACATGGAGTCTCATACACACTTCTGCCGTCAGATTCTACATCCACCACCATGCTTGAGAGTTCTACGGGGTTTCAGTTTCCAGTGTTGCTGCGAAAGTGCATCCTGGGATTAGAGACGGTTCAAGCAAGCTTAAACGGCCCAGCCATACCTTCAAATTTAGCCCTAACCCCTAAAAGTAGATGCCAAACCTTGAGCCATAAGCCTAAACCCTTAAAAGTAGACGCCAAAACTTGAACAATCACCGTAATCCTTGAACCCGAGGTGAAGTGCGCACCGTAGACCCTGTGCTCCGGGTGCTTGATTCCCTTCCTGAATCCAACCCCTGCACCTGGATGAACTGCCTCGGCAGCTTGAATAATGGCGAACAATTTGATGCGAGTCTAAACCCTAAACCCTAAACCAGTAGCATGGCACGTGCGGTAGTTTGTGTTGTTTACATGCCCTGCCCCTGAAGCCTATTCTAAGCAAGTAAGATTTTTGGGTTTAGGGTTTAGTTTAGGGTTCTACGGTCTCTCACGACTGTGGGATGGCACTTGGGTTTATGATATATCTCGTTACTGTACCTAGATTCTATCTATGTTGGCTTGCAAACTCCGCGACCCTAAACCTTTGGTGTTCCCCCTTACACTAGCTGTCCTTAAAGGGGTCTTATTAAGAGGCTACTCAAACTCGTACTACCCACTGTGGTAACGGTTAATGTAAGGGGGAATGACTTAAGCTAAACCCTAAAGCCTTTAAACCCTAAAGCCTTTAAACCCTAAACCCTAAGCCGTAAACCCTCAACCCTAAAACCCTAAACCGTAAGCCCTAAACCCGCCCCACAGCGCAGGCAACCTCAACGCCAACGGACCTCACGCTGACCTCTGACGCCTCCACCTGGGGGTCGCAGGCCTTCTTCGGCCTTATCAAATACAGTCACATGTGTAGGGCAACAAGAATAGCAGCACAAATGATATCTTTGATGCGAGCTTCTTTCTGAATGATTTTTCAAGGTAACTGTAGTACAACGCTAGGGAACTATTGAAATCACATGTCTTTTATAGGTCTGGGGGGATTACGTACAGCTTTCGGGAGAGGGAAGTTGAGGTTCTCGGATGACTTGGACTTTTTTTTTTCCAGGGTGTGCTCTCTCTTGCTCTGCCTCACTGCCCTGGAGCGCTTGCTCAGAAAAATCAGCATGCTACAATTACCTTTGGAGATGGTAGGCCAGTTTACAGTTTACTGCTACGAGAGCATGTCTACCATAGTCTAGACTCCTTGAAGGGGGTTATATGGGAGGTGACACAGGGGATTATATAGGGGAGTATTACAGGGTTCTTAAAGGGGATACTAGGTGTTAGACCCTAAAACCTTAACCCTTATCCCTGGGTTCATTAAGGGGATGTGCATCTATCTGAAAGAGTGCTTGATGAGTTTGGGGTCCGATGGTTTGGACTTTGCGCAACTTGCGCAGCAGTGAGTGGCCTTCCCTCCGACACCCTATGCCCTATACCCTATTAAGGGTTTAGGGTTTAGGGTTTAGGGGTTTAGGGTTCCTTATGTCCTAAACCCTAAGCCTTATTCCCTAAACCCTAAACCCTAGACCCTAAGAGGTAGAGGTGCTTTGTGCCCCCACCTTGAGGATGCGAGATGTGAACAAAGTGCCATGCTAGAGCGCCAGGTTCTCAACCCTCGACCCTTGAAGCCTACAACCAGGCTTAGGGTTTAGCACTTAGAGTTGAAGGTTTAGGGCTTCCAGTCCTTCAGAACGATTGTCCTATACAGAAGGCTCCAAAGCTAGCCTCTCTCAGAAATAGTAGAAGAACAAGTACATACTATGACATACATACATCTATTCATGTGTTTGTCCATCTATCTATCTATCTATCTATCTATCTATGTAGCAAGCCCTCACTTGGACCCCCGCAGTAGGTGAAATCATGATCCAAGACCCCTAGAAGCAGCATAGTTTGAGAGTCCGGCTTATTACCCTACTAGAGACGGTGACTCAGTCACATGCAGTCGCCAAGCTTTCCCTGGAAGTTCTCTAAATGGCCCCAATATGGTAGTTTCCTAAATAGAGGGACCCAATATAGACCCCAATGTATACCATAATCCTTATCATGGGAACCCCCAAAGGGGTACCCCTAATCTTGGGAAACCCTAAACCCTAAGCCCTAAACCCTAAATAGTAGCTTCCATTTTATTTTCCATTATCCCCATGTAACCCCCAGAACCCCCTTTAAAGGTAGCCCTAAACCCTAAACCATAGGGGTTCTCTTTTTTGAGCCTCGAGATGCCACCGCTTCCTCCCGTCCACCCCGGGCTTGTGCTCCATAGTGGCATGCTGGAGGCCGGCTTGGGATTTAGAATTTAGGGTGCAGGGTTTAGGGTGTAGGGTTTTGTGTTTAGGGTCTAGGGTTGAGGGGTTCAGGCTTTTTTGAACGGATCCGGTGTTTGGCGAGTGGGGTTCCTGAAATAGTGGCTGAAAGGGAGAATAAGGGCTATATTAGGGCCCCCTTATATTCCTATTCTGCCACTATTACAGGGTGGGGGTCCTCCATATATATATATATATGTGTATATATAGATTTAGATATACATATATATATATAGATATGAAGATATATGTGAGAATGCGGTGTTTGGCGTGCCAGGTTGAGCTTCCCGATGAAGCTCTTGGGGATCTAGTTTGCTATTTTGAGGTTTTACAGGTTAGGGTTTAAAGCCACGAGGCGGTAAGGAAGGGGTATAAAATCTACGGAAACACAATTCCCATTAACTTGCCCATATGATTTTCAATTAGTGGCGAGAGCTTCTCCGTAACCACCCAAGCCCTCACCCACCCAGGCTTACAGCAGCTATTAGATCACTCGAGGCTCAAAGAGGCTGGAATTGGTTTTGGGGTTCAACCCTAAACCTTAAACCCTTAAAACGGGGGCCCTTCAAATTCGAATAGAGTCCTAGACTCCTTCTCAGCCCGTCTGGGCTTAGTATCAGGTATCATGCTGATTGACCTAAATCTTGAAGATTGCTGATGCCTCGCTCGGAGATTGTAAGAGACATTGAGGAGGTATGTCATATATAGGGGTGGGGAACCCTAAACCCTGAACCGCGTCTTTGGAAATTAGCGAATGGGAGAAAATTCCACTTCAGCAGGGTCTAGGGTTTAGGGCTGCAAAAAGACAATCCCTATATACTATAAACCCCTACATACATAACCCTCACCTGAAACACTAAACCCTACCTATGACATGGATCTTGTGCTGAGCCTTGCGCGTGCATCACCGCTTTTTTCCCCCTCAAGGCTTCCGCCACACAGCTTGCGTTGCGGTGAGCGTTACCGCACCCTACAAAGTTCAGTGTGCAGGCTTCAGACCTTAAACCCTGAAACCTCAACCCTGAAACCTCAACCCTGATCCCTAAAGCCTGAACCCTAAAGCCTGAACCCTAAACCCTAAAACCCACACCCTTAACCAGCCAAGGTCAAAGGTCAGCGCCTAGTTTGTTTGTTCGTGTTTTACAGGGATTAGAGCGTAGTTGCGCAGGATTGAGGGGCCAAGCGGTCAGGGTCTTGTGTTCTGCCCGCGATGGGAGCGGAAGATGTGGTTGCGCTTACTCTCCTGGCGTATGACGCTCTCTTCTTGCTCCTCAGACAAGAAGTTGAGAAGTTTTTGTTTGTTTTTCAACAGTAATTCCGAATATGATCCCTCATTACATCCTGGCGAGGTTCAATCTCTACGACTATCATGTGCTCAACCACAACCAGCCTGGCCATGACGTGCTTTACCGCCCTGTGCAGCTTGGTGTTGCTTGGGCGCTCCGAATTTTTGAGCCGATGAAGGCACTGGGCACAGTGAGGGGGTGGCGAGCCCTTCCCGCTCTCTTGAGTGATAGCAGGTATGCGCCTGCAGCGCACAGGCACAAGAAATATCGCACCCGAGAGCCTTATGGCAGAAAACGTGCTTGCATTGCAATGCCATATGAAAGCAAAACCAAAGCCCCAACTCCCAAACCTCAGAATTCAAACCCAAACCTTAAGCGCTAGACCTAAACCCTGAGCCCGATGCCCAGGTATTTCTTGGACAAATACCGCGTTCCGCTGCCTAAGGCTGGGTTGCGGCTAAGGAACTTAGTTTAAGTTTCTATATCTTGGGGAAACCCCAGTAATTACTGTATATGCCCATTTCCGCAACTTAGATTAAGTTCCTTAATGCCCTACATCCTAAACCCTAGATACCCATTATGGTAACTTAATCTAAGTTCCTCAGCAGCAACCCAGAAGGCGGGATTCCTAAAACCCTAAACCCCAAACCCTAAACCCTGAACCCTAAGCCTTAAACACCAAACCCTAAACCTTACACCCCAAACCCTAAGCCTTAAACCCTCAGCCCTAAACCCCAAACCCTAAACCTTACACCCCAAACCCTAAACCCTAAGCCTCAAACCCCAAACCCTAAACCCTAAACCCTAAGCTCCCTTTTAAGGTGGGATTCATCCTCTTTGTTCACATCCTCACTTCAGCAGGACCGGGGGGCTGAGGGCTTTACCGGGAATCCCCAGTTTCGAGTTTAGAGTTTGAGGGTTTAGGGTTTAGAGTTTGAGGGTTCAGGGCTTAAGAGTTTTAGGGTTTAGGGTGTGGAGTTCAAGGGTTTTGGGTTTAAGGGTTTAAGGGTTTAGGTTTTAGAGTTTTAGGGTTTAGGGTTTAGAGTTTGAGCGTTAAAGGTTTTGGGTTCAGGGTTCAGGGTTTTGGGTTTAAACCCTAAACCCTTGAGTAGGATACGGAATTTGCGACCTGATGAGGCTGGGGTCTCCGCAGATACTCGTAGAGACTGGAATCTGGGAAGTCGCGCTACGACAGGAGCCCAGCATAAAGAGGATTTCCGCTGTGAGGAAGTCCAATCATAACATGCCGCCGAATTTAGGAGCTTTATGCAAGACCTCTATGACCTTGCGACGTCAGGTTGTTTGGTCTGGTTTCCGTAGTGTGCCCTGAGGTCCACTCTTGCTGTCCATCACGCAGTGCTGGAAGATTGTTCGAAAACAGAGCCCCTTGGGACATATTGGAGCAGCCTTTTACATGTCGCAGGAGCACTGTGCAGCCCGCGTGATTCGAAGTTTATGCTTAGATTTCAGATTCTCAAAGCCCAGTTGTCCGGCAATTCTTGTGCACCCTCACATGGAGAGTTCTTGCTTTCCAGTTTAGGGAGTACTGGAAACAGATTTCATAGAAGACTTAGAACCCAAACCGGAGCTCCTACTGGGTTGCTGTTAAAGAACTTAAACTAAGCTACCATAATGGGTGTATATATATATATATAGATAGCATTTAGTGTGGCTTCGCCAATATAGTAATTTAAATTAGCTCCTTAACAGCAACCCAGCCTATAGACCCTACACCCTGGACCCCGGACCCGAACCCACACCAGTGTATCATCGCGGGGAACATTTATCATTAGTGGCTTGGGGAAACTTGGGTTTAGGGGGTTTAGTGTTAGGGGAAAGGTTTCCTTCTGAATCCTTCAGTGAAGGTCTTGTTGTGCATCGTTGGACTGGACGAATCTGCCTCGTCTCCACCTTCCTGACCGTCTACCCAGCACAAAGAGTTTGGTTGGCAAGTTGTCTACTTCCCTAAGCATCCAAGGACCCAAATAATAGGGTTTTAGGGCCCAAATATCTTTGATATTATAGTATTTGGGCCCTAGAGCACTGTCATTTAGGTCCTTGGACCCTTAGGATTGTTTTTGTTTCCAAAACGGGGTCCCGGTGCTATTGCAAAAAAATGCTGTAACATGTATGGTGGGAACCCCCTTGATTGACCGATACGTTTTGGAACCGGTCGTTTTCAGGATACATCCTACACCGTAAACCCCATATAAACATAAACGCTAAACCCCCAACCCCCCCCCCAAAAAAAAAGCCGTTGGACCGGTTTTCCCTGGGCTGGACACCCGTGACTACGATAACCCAAACTCTACACCCGTAATAGGCTGAGCCAGCTTTTAAGATTCACACTTTACTAGGGAGTAGGATTTTACTTGGGGGTCAGGGCGACATAGTAAGTAGGTTAATTCAAGAATTATGGAGCGGATTGTGGAAGCTACTATATTTTTCACGGTTGTCAGGGGAGACTTAGTACGTAGGGTAAATATGGGGATGGCTGTAGGGTTGTAACACGGATTATGGGGGTTACATACCCTAAACCTTAAACCCTGAGCCCTAAACCCTGTGTAGGTATGCTTACGAAGTCTTCTGACCCTCCATGTAGGGCCTGGACCAGGGTCATGGAGATCTCTGGGATGAGGGCTTAAAGCAGTTTGGGGTTCAGGGGTTAGGGTTTAGAGACTTGCATGTAGACTATGTCCGATTTGGGGTCCTTATAGTAAGGATCATAGCACTTTGGTGTCTATATTGGTAGTCCCGTATTTATGGAAGCTACCATTATCATTGCGCAACGTCAGATCCGAATGAGCTACAACAAGCCTCCATGGGCCCGTGGCTGTTGCCTTTGTCCCTTTCGCACCCATTGAAGCCTAACCCAGACCCCTGATTATTAACCCCCTCCCCCTAATAGGGATTATAGTAATGATCCTAAGATTAAGGCCCTTAAAGGGACGGGGTCTATTAATCATGGGTCTACACTCTTCCCTGGAAGCCCAGGAACAGATGTATTAGGTCCTTGGGTTACAGATAACGTAAAATCATAAATGGACTTAAGGACAGGAACCCAATATGTAGGTAACTGGGCTTCTAGGGATTGATAGAGGCATACAAGCTTTCCTGGCACATCGATCACCTCAACGTGTACTTTCAAGCCTTGATTGCAGCACTCGCAGGGCTGTGGCTGCTTTCTGCTCCTTGCCTTGGCTTCAGGGTTTAGGGCTTAGG